CTCTTTCTAAGCAAGGTGAGGATGTGATCCATCAAACCACCATCGCAAGGAACCTGTAAAGGGCCACAAATAGTGGAACCAAACTCTTCCTCTGCCATCTCCAACAACACCTGAAAAATTGGATGTTTCAGATAATCCAACGGCAAAACAAACCTCCTGCCTTCTCTGGTGTACACAGCGAAGTGGCCTTTCTTCCAGTTCCTCCACTTCTCCATCAAATCGGTGAGCCTAAGACTCTTACAAGACCCTCTCTTCATATCTTTTGTCTCTGATCTTTGATGTCTTAACCAATATAATCCCGTTGTGTATACTGTTTGTCTGTTGCTGTCTGAAACTATACCTGCTTCTTTCTCCATATATATACTACAAAATGTGATTAAGTGTATGTGGTAGCTGTTATGCGGCCCAAAAAGAAGATTAAGAATGTGTGGAAATAGTAAGGGAGGCATGTGATTTTTTATTATCTGGGTCGATTACTATGAGATAAAATTAGGGAAATCGGCAAAAAACACACAAAAAAAAGTATAATTTAAAAACTAACCAAAATGCCATTAATTTTTTTTTTTTTGGTTATACACCAAAATGACCCATAAAATTATGCATGTATAATGGTCCTGCATATCATAAATTTATTGGCACAAAATAAAAAGATATATAAAAGATAGATGAATGATAAAATTAAGAAAAAGTAATATTATAAAAGTAATATTTTTAGTTAAAATCTTAATAAAAACCGATAAATAAAGATATTTAAGTAAATTTTTATAAATATATATAAGAACGTATTGGAGAAAATGTTATAATCAATATTTATTAATTGATAGTTGCACTAATAATATTTTTTTATGTTTTAATTAATAAATTAGCGAAGTAAAACAAGTTAAATAGTGCATTAATAGTTTTGATTGCGAGTGGGGTTAACTACATTTACATATAATTTAGACCACATAGTATTTAGTTTGTGAGAAGGTAAATGGAGATGTGGTGGTGACAATAGAGCATGTGAGATGTGACCCGTTTAAGTGCAAATTGCTTCTGCTTTTTTTTGTTTTCTCTCTCTCTTTGGTATTATATTCATTCACGTCCTCAACTTCTCTCTTTTCACTTTCTTGTGTATCTATCTCCCTTGTTTTAATTTCTTTAAGTCACATGAAATCCTTACATAACCCTCACTTTTCAACTATGAAGTCCAGAGTAGTACACCGTTATAATTTCTACTTGGTGCATCTTCATCTTTGTGATGTTATGACTTAAGAGATTAAAACTGAGCCAAAATTTATAACAATCAATTGGTTTTTTTTTTGTTTCATACACACTAAACCGTAGAAACCGAAACCAGACAAATTAATCGTCGAGGCCTACTAGAAATGATGCAAGCTTCGATATTATGTTTTTCATTCGGTTACCCTAAACCGTCTGAATTTCACAACCACAATTACACATGAAACATAACTCATTCAAACATATTTTTTCTCTGAACAAAACCAAATTGCAGCCAAATGCTAATCAGAAAAAATGATTGTCTAACTCTAAACCCTAAACCCTGAAATTGCCTGGCTGAGGCATCCTTACTCAAACCTCTATAGCCCGGTAACCTGCCAGTGGCGACGTGAGCGTAAGTGTCGTCTTTATCCACTAATCGTACAATTGGGGTAAGCACGGGCAACCGGGAGGTGAGTTTTTTTTACCAAGTAAAAGAAAAAAGGTTGCAAACTTCTCATATGGTTTGGTCTTTACATAGATAGCGGAAGAAGCATCCTTCGCTTCTTCTTCCTGGCTAATCTCACTTGCTTTGTGACCTTCATGCAAATAAGTAGTAGCAAAGTGACACAAACCAAGATGAATGCGAGTTGCAACCGCTTGAAGTACAAGGAAACCGCTGAAAACACTAAGAATGCTAAGATGACTAGCTCCCAGATGACAAAGACTACAACATCCACCCTGGATCAAACCAATGAAGAAGCTTGTTAACAATATGTAACTCATGAAGATGTGTACATGTTAGTGAAGCTTAAGAAGTAAAAGTCAAACGGCAAAGAATACAACCATGAATGTACGAGATAAGAAGGAAGATGATTTCAACCAATCTAGCACCATACGTAAATCAATTTCACGTACAATGTTAATATGATCAACTTTTAGAAAACAAACAAAAAGTTTAAGTGAATAATCTTATGATAGAAAACTGTGTTCCTTGTATTCTGGGATAGAAATAAACATGACATACAGTATTATTGTATTTTATAATACTTATTCACTTCTTAACTAGGGGAGTGAAAAGTCGATCTAAAGGGTGATGAGTCTAAGGAACCAAGAAACACATCAAATGCATTACTCTACAAGCACACAGTGATCATTGAAATCCTATAATGAAACTAACATAAATATACAATCATGCCAAGCAATAGCATTTGAATGGTGGCAGTAATTATACAATCGAGCTAACCAAACACAGAAATAGTAGTGAGACTAAATACTCTAATGAACACGCTAAATTCGAATACTTATTGCTACTTTACCTACAGAAAGAACTTCATCTTGCCTGAAATGACAATGTCAAAGGCAGATACAGACTCACTGTGCAGCTAGCTTTGCGTAACATATATATATTAACTGATAGAGCCAGAAGACCAAATCACACTCCTCTGGGATGCATAGTTTCCTTACTGTGTGTAAAGAGTGATACAGTGTGCAATGAACTTGAAAATATCTTAAAAACCAACGAATGCTTTACTCAACCCATACATTCCTTCGATAGATAACGAAATCTTCCATTTCCAGGGTATACATCAGATGGCTAAACAGAGATCAGCATCCATTTTCCTACGTCTTCCAAATTACAATTCTTCGTGCAGATTCAACAAAGAGATACTACCGACTGTTATCTAATTCTGTAGATCAGGATCATCTTAGATTATCTGAGTAGAGTTTACGACTCCGACTTAACGAATATCATGACATTCAGATCTTCCAAACCCTAACTTCCAAATGTAAAATTCACGCAACCAAATCCAATTCTCTAAACATTATGCAACCAGAGGTAATACCCAGCGATGAACACAACTGTACGAGGACTACGGAATACAAAGAAGGAAAATGGAAAGCAACAAAAGAAGAAGCACAGATCTCGAATCATAAAATCCTCACCTAGACGAAGAAAAACTCGAGGTCGAGGAGAAGAATGATACAGATGCCCAATCATGCTTTGATCGAATCTGATATTCCCTTAGCTGCTCTGCTAGATTCGATCTAGTTATCATCGCTTCGTAACGGAACGTCTTCGATTTCTCCACCAAATCAATCTCTTCTCTTCTCAGTCGACGACTGATCCAGAGAATCGTCGGAGAAACACGAAATTGATGATCAAATTCTCTGATAAAGATTCAAAATCGATGAATCAAACAACGGGAAGAAGAAGAAAAAAAAAAAATCTGGAGATTTCAAATTTTCAGAGACGAAACCATGTTTCGATTCGTCTAAGTTCGTTAGCGTAGAGAGTCG